ATGCACTAGTCTGTACTCTGTGTAGCTGCTGAAAATGCTGATTTTGCTGGCCTTCACTACCTCCCAGCAAGATAAAATGAGATCGCAAGACGCGGAGAGAGAAGGCTCCCTTGACAGATCTGTGAACGGTGTCCCTCCTTCTTGTTTTCTTTCTTAAATAAATCTCATAATTTTTTATAATACTTTCGTTGTCTTGGTTTCCCTGGACAAGATACCATCCCCTGTGCGCTTTCCTATTGACATGCAAAATTAATGACAGTTAATAATACAATTGTCCTACAAGTTACTGTTTGTGAAATGTCTGAGTGGCACAGGCGAAAGCTGGATGAGGATTGCTGCTTGGTGGCCTGATAGAGAGATCACACTTGTCCTCGTATTGGAAACTTCTTCAGCACGTCCATCCATAACAGCTGTAAATCAATAAACATGCAAAAAAAGTGCCATGGTTTAGTATTAGAGGATATACTGTACCTGTCAGTGATGTATGCATAGTTACATTTTATCTTTAACAGTTGTTTTTTTTTTCTTTTTTTTTTTTTTTTTTCTGGGTGCTGTTGAGCAATGGAGGAGTAAGATACGTTTTACATAGCTTCGATAACTTATTTAAACATTTAAACACTAAACATATGTAAATTCCTGAAAAGAAACTGTGGAACAGCGTGGGATGATTATATGCATAAAAAATATAATCGCAGTGGAAAATAAACCATGTCTAAAAAAGGAAACATAGGAAAAACGACCAGCACGCGGGATGCTAACCCTTAAGAGGTGTTCAATGAGATTGACCTGCCAAACCGCCAGATACTGGCTACCATCGCTGCTCTCTGTGGCCAAGTTGCCCAAATTAGAGATGATATATGCAAGAGGCGAATTGGCAACAATTAAAGAAGAGGATCACTGCACTAGAACGTACTTCTGCCTCCCAAAGTAAAACAATTGGCGAGCTGGAGAACTCAGTCTCCACCTCCTCCACAATGTCACCATTCTCCAAAGCCAAGTTGCGCAACTGAGTGCCAAAATGGCAAAGTTGGCCGAAAAATGTGAAGACTTAGAAAGCAGCTCTCTGAGGCGCAAGATTCGGCTCACCGGAGTCCCTGAGGAGAGCAGAAGGATCCACATCAGGAGACTTTGTAGAAGGGCTGCTGCAGGATGAAAAACCACTTATTGACCGAGCACACAGGACTCTTTGAACAAGACCAGACCCACAAGCGTCTCCCAGACCGTTCATGCTGCATACATTATTTTCATGTGCTTGAAGACATCCTACAAAAAGGCTGCCGCGATGAAACAACTACCATAGAGAGGCAAGAAGATTCAAATATTTCCAGATGACCCTCCAACAAAGCCTAAACAAAAAGCATTAGTTAACCGTGGCAGACAAATTCTACGCAGCAAGTCTGGAATCAGGTATGGCCTGAATTATCCTGCCAAAACGTTGGTCACACACAATGGGATACGGACTTTCTTCATTGACCCTAAAAGAGCCGAAGAATATTCTGAGTAATCAACGACAATGGATGATTAAATTGTGGGATTTGAGATAATAGCCGATTATTTTTCGGCATGGAACTAGGCATAACGGATACCCCGAACCCACCGACCCCCCTTGTCACTTCGCCCACTAAATTTTGTTCCCAGCACATCTTTGTTGCATAGCCTGATCGCAGTCAAGCTGACTGATTGAGCTCCATTATTCCCGTGCACAAAAGTATGCTGACAGAATTGAAGTGGAGCGCATTTTTCAATTTTGAGTGCTCTTGTGCACCAGCACACTACTTATGTGCACACCTGTTTTTAAGACCATTTTTGAAGCATTGACCATTCAAAAGTGGAAAAAAAAGTGGGAGGTAGTTTCAACATAAAATATTATTTTAATAGCCGAACTAGTCGTTTGAAATGAATGTTTTTTTTTTCAATCTAATTTCCTCATAAATTATGGAATGATGGCTTGAAAAACATGGCCATGATTTTGAATTGAAACTTGTCTGTTCATATATTTAAACTTGTCTGTTCATATCATGTGAGAAATTACCTTTTGTACATTATTGTGTAACACTGAATATATTTTTGAAATCATTTGTTCATCTTTAATCTCACTATGAAGGTGGAAAACTTGAGGAACATTTCAAAGTCCACTGATAAAGGTTTTTGACATGATTAGTGTTATCTGCATTAGTAGTTATTAGTTATTAGTAGTATTAGTAGTATATTTGGGATTAGCTTGATATTAATAGAGGATACCTTATTAAAAATGTCTTCATGATGACAGCTGCCCTAAATAAAGTGCTGTAGATAAGGAGAGGCTTCACAATCACCTTCAATAATTTAAGACTTGGAGACATTTAAACTACTGTACTTTCATCAATTCCACATTTAGATGCATGTTAAACAGTCTAACGCATTATAAACAGCATGTACTATTGAAATGAATGAACGAATCTAGAGTTCCTTGACAGTTTGCTAATGTCGTAATTTATTGTGCAGCTGTTAAGCGTACTGCAGGCTCCTGCAAGGAGACGTGATCGGATAGTCCCGCTCCTCAATCTACCCAGTTGTAGCGCCCCTGTATGATGGTTTGCAAGCGAGACCATTCAAAAGAGCGGTTCCAGTTCAAACGTCCAAATCTAGGCCTCTGCAGCTGCCAGGTAACGCGTGATCATGAAGTGGTGAAATATATTACATTCGATAGGAGTCGTAGGTGTGCGTGCGCGCACGCGTGTCCATGTGCGCGCGAGCGTGCATGGGTTGATGACGAGATGGTGATCAAGTGAGAGGACGAACTGCGTAACAGCAGCAGAAAAGGGAAGAAAAGGAGGAGGTGAGGGCCGCCAGTCGTTAGGTGACAAGGAGAAATATGAGGGACTCTGACAGGTCTTAAATGGTCTGGCGCCAAGACTTCAGTCGAGCCGCTAAATATAGCGGCGAATGCTGCTGCGGGATATGGAAGGAGATGCGTAGATAAAAGGGGAAAAAAATATGCCAATTACAAGAAAAAGACGATCCTCGATTATTGATGGAGCTGCATGAACGCTCGTGGGATAGTGTAAATTTGAGTGAATTTGTATACCTCGTTACAATGCCGATTTACGACAGTCTAACTCTAAAGCATACATTTACTCTATTCCGAAAAGCATACATTTATACCCTATTACCATTCCAGCTTTCCTAAAATGTATGTGAAAGTGGATGTACAGATGGATGTGTTTCTATAAATGTCTAAATTACACGCTGGGCTGCCAATAAATAATTATAATACCGGCCGTTGACATTAAAAGTGTCGTATTTTTTTCCACGCTGTATCATTGTTCATAAATCGACGACAGAACATAAACTTACGTCGCAACAAAACAATCTCTTTACGTTGGGAATGTCTGGTCCAGGTCT